ACAGAAATATAAAGTAGGGGGAGAGAATATATTTGTACAACAGTAAGGGCATGAGAATAATGCACTGTCAGTGAGAAAGAGACAAGCAGCCTCTGACATCTGGGACCTGGCCTGGCACTATCAATCTGGCCTTGGTATTTTCTTGTTGAGCATAAACAATTTCACAGAACATCAACATGAGAAAAGGTCATTCTGTGACCATGATAGATCAAGGCAAAAACAAAACCACTACATTATCATGTCTGAATACAGTCAAAATATGAAGTGTCCAAACCACAAAAATGACCAAACATCTGCCATCCTGGCCTACATGAGTGACTATTGCTTCTTTATTAATTATAGCTTTAGTTTAGGGTTAGTCTTCCACACTTACAAATAAGATTTATTTAGAAATCCAATCACTGAATTATCCTCACTTCCTATCAGCATCCAAGTGTAGAACAAAGCCAGCTAGAGTGACCAACTCAGCCTGGTTTTCCCAAGGATTTCCTGGTTTTAGCGCTTAAAATATTCAGTCTTGAGCAAAATAGGATGGCTGTTCAAATGCCTGCTTCCTTAAACTTTCCCCCAAATCATGTAAAGCAAGATCAAATCCTGTAAGTCCTTTCTATCACCCTTTTATTGAGACACTTCATAGTTTCCCTTCTTATGCATTCACCCTTTGTTGCAATAAGTAATAAACTCACCATTTTCTCAAGTACAGGTCTTTTCCTAGTGGTCTCTCATTGAAGGGCATTGCCATGAGTAAGAAGCAAAAAGGAACATTGTGGAAAAGCTAATAAGGCCTACCTAGCATAGAAAAATGGGACTGAAGGAATGAAGAGGTGGGGGAACCAAAGAAATATGAAAAGGTAGCATAACTCTCAGGGGCTAGCGCTAGAGTGTGGTTTTCTTTTTTTAAAATATATTTTATTGATTTTTTACAGAGAGGAAGGGAGAGAGATAGAAACATCGATGAGAGAGAAACATCAATCAGCTGCCTCCTGCACACCCCCTACTGGGGATGTGCCCACAACCAAGGTACATGCCCTTGACCCGAATCGAACCTGGGACCCTTCAGTCCGCAGGCTGATGCTCTATCCACTGAGCCAAACCGGCTAGGGCAAGTGTGGTTTTCTTAAAAGGTGGTTTTTAGTAGTGATAAAAGATAAGGTGAAGGAAGGTGAAGGCATGAGCTTTTGTAGGAGGAGGAGTTGTTGCTCCACCCTCTGTGCCTGAACCAAAAGAAACATTAATGAAAAGACAGCAAAAACAAACAAAAATTTGGTTTATGATATAAAATGACTCAATCTTTAATGCCTAGAGCAGTGATTTTTCAAGCTTTTTCATCTCATGACACACAAACTAATTACTAAAGTTTTGTTGCATACCACAAAATAACTATAATTTTTAAAATCTTTATTATTGAAAGTATTACAGATGCCCCTTTTCCCCCATTGACCCTTTCTAGGCCCCCCACCCCCACCCTAGGCCTTCATCACACTAAAATAGGTATAATTTTGATTCATTCATAGCTATTGTTGTGTTGGTTGTTGTAATTTTTTTATTTGACAATCTAAGGGAAAAGAGGTCAGTGCCCCTGACTAAATACACAGGTATTGCATGTTTTAAAACTTCTTGCAGCTCACTGGTTGAAAAATCGCTGTCCTAGAGGCTCATCATAGTTTTCCACATTTGTTTGCCTATGTTTGTCAACTGCATCATATAATAGTTTCTACATAAGGGAAGTTTCTGAGAAGAAAGAACTGCAATGACACACTAGTGAACAGGTGTTATTAATGCAAAACACTAAGCTTACAATTTTAATTCTTTGGGGTTGAGATCACCCAATGTTAAATATCAATATTCATTAAATAAAATAAAGGCCCCAGAACAGTGCCTGGCATATAGTAAATGGTAATACATATTAACTATTGCAATTACTATGATGATACTATTTTTTCAATATGTTTATTTTAAAACGGGCAATTCAATAGTTGTTTTTTTTAAAAAAAAAAAGGTTTTGATCACATATCCTTGATTATGTAGGAGGTATATATTGAATGATAAATGTAACTTCCTTGTTTTTTTAAGCCTGGCTCAGAGCCATATATTCAAATGACTGTTTACATGCCTTTTGGCGACCTTTGGTAAAATCTTTTTTTTTTAATATATTTTTTATTGATTTTTTACAGAGAGGAAGGGAGAGAGATAGAGAGCCAGAAACATCGATGAGAGAGAAACATCGATCAGCTGCCTCCTGCACATCTCCTACTGGGGATGTGCCTGCAACCCAGGTACATGCCCTTGACCGGAATCGAACCTGGACCCCCCAGTCCACAAGCCAACGCTCTATCCACTGAGCCAAACCGATTTCGGCTGGTAAAATCTTTTAAATTCAGTTGCTGAGTACCTACATTCCACTAGATGTTGGCCCATACTGCATGTTGCAAAGCAAGTTTTGAAAACAGGACTACCATTTAGTTTCATACTTTTTATACTTTAAAAATGTCCAGGGAGTGAACAAGCAGAATGTGATTGTCCATGGAAAAGGAAACCTAGAGTACTCAGAATCTAGAAGTTTAAACATAAAGGAAGTAGGTTCCTTAGAACAGGTTACTTTATAATTTTCATCAGAAAGCTGCCTCATTTATTTCTACAAAATAAAAGTCAAATAAAAATATAAGAACACACAGGGAATATTTGTGAAGTGCTCTTAAAAATAAAGTGAATGTCTGACTTTTGGCAATGTCTAGGATATATTACAAAAGATATCAAATAGAGTTTTGTACATCTATACTAATAAAAGGTTAATATGCTAATTCGACCGATAGACCAGACGTCTTCCGGAAGTCCTTCCGATGTCCTTCCGGACAAAGCCATGGTGGCAGGGGCCGAGGCAGAGGTGGTTAGGGGTGATCAGGCCGGCAGGGGAGAGTGGTTAGGGGCGATCAGGCAGGCAGGCAGAGGTGGTTAGGGGCTATCAAGCAGGCAGGCAGGTGAGCGGTTAGGAGCCAGTGGTCCCGGATTGTGAGAGGGATGTCCAACTGCCAGGTTAGGCCTGATCCCACAGGGATCCCCTGAGGGGTCATGGATTGGAGAGGGTGTAGGCTGGGCTGAGGGGACCGCCCCCCCGCCACCGTGCATGAATTTTGTGCACTGGGCCTCTAGTTTACAATAATTTTGTCCCATTGAAAGACCACTTCACTTGATTTTTCAATACCTAAGAAAATAATCAGCTTGTTTTTTCCAACATTAGTTCTTAATTATATTATATATGTACAACCTGGAATGGTCCAAATTTTATTTTCTTTTTTATAATTCTGACACCTTTTTAATTTACATTACTTTTTTCAGAGGCCAAATTGGGCAGGGAGAACACCAATTATCCTGATGTTATGTTTTGTCAACTCTTATCTTGTTTGATATTATTACAAGTCTGGGTCAAAAATATCCATACCCATCCACAGTTTTAAAAACTTGGGTCAGAAGTCTACTTCTTCTGTGGTTTAAAAATCATTTATTTGGAATGTGGCATTATTTTTACAAAATAAAATAAAAATAGTCATTCTCAGAAGCAAATTCCTTTATAAAGTTAATAAATTGGTGATTATATATACTTAAAAAGTTATAAGTAATCATTTATAAGGAAAATATTTTAGATGTGAATTATACAGTTATCCTATTTCTGCCATACCCTTTTCAATGTATAATGTTTCTTATAGAGTAGTTTTATACGTATTATTCTCACAAACAGATTCAAGTCTCACTTGTATTCAGCAGACAATCAAATTCGCATTTACGTAAACATTTTTCACACTTACAATAAGCTATTGTTTAATCATAATAAGAGTCCATTTTGCAGCTATAGCATACTTGAATACATACAGCTCTTTCTGCATGAGAAACTGAATCAAACTGAAAAGTACAAATTAACAAAGATATAAACATATTTGCTTTCTTTAAGCTATAGAGGTAAATGCACATATTATTCAAACACAATTATATAATACACACTGAGAAAACTAATACAGCTTAAAAAACTGTGAAATAAAATAGGATACATTTCATGAATTGTTTTTGTCCTTGGACCAAATTAATTAGAAATATCGAGTAATAGTCAGTTAATTCCAAGTAGTGCCAGGCAAGAAAATTTAAAGTAAAACTGTGTTTTATACCTCATTGCCAGATCAAGAGTAATTCTAGGCGGAAATACCATTTTAAGATAAACAAAGACATTATCCCTTTTGAGGAACCTATGTATTATTACTTACCGAAATTTGCCATCTGTATCGTCTGGTTCCCAGTCTCTGGAACGTTGTAAATCACAACAGCATCAGCATTTCTTCTGCTTGCTGTTTGAATTTTTTCTGAAAATGTACAATTACCTCTTTCTATCAGTGCAATCCAAGGCTTCTCGGTATTAGTAAACTCAGTGTTGTAGTCACAGGCTTGGTAGTTACTGTTCTTAGGGATGCCCACCACCCCCATAGCATTAGCTACTGGTGAAGCTAATCCATAAACACCACATTCACATGTCTCTGTTGTAGTATAGTTGCTGGTTTCATTGTAATAATGCACAGTCACATAGGCGTTCACTGGAAAGGATGCTGTGATTTTAAATAAAAAGGTAAAAATTACAAGCAGCCGAAACCAACTGGACTTATTCTCCTCGTTCATTGCTTGTTCATTTGAGCATAAAATTTAAGATGTCTGCTGATATTTCCAACTATCAGTAACCATTCGTCCACGCAGTCCCCAGCTAAGCAGAAGTTTGAAATTTCAGTTGCAAGCAGGTAACTGATCTCACCTCAAGCAACATAAGCTCTGAATACATCAGCTCTATTTCACTTCACTTATCTACATTCCCTTTTGCCTGCCCCTCCTCCAACTGTACACACACATAACCCTTCACCAAGACTACCTTAGTAATAAATAACACCATCAACTTTATTCTACATGTCAACTTATCAGGGTTGGATGACTTCCTGCACTGAAATTTTTTCCCCCTACTGTTCCAGCTAACGCACTTTCATAAGCATGGAGTGATTGGAACGAGGAACTGGACGCCTGGGAATCCCACGTGACAAGTCTGAAAGTCACCTCTCTCAGAATATCTAAAACACCAAACTGGTTTTCCAAGCCCTGCTGAAATATGCTATCAACCAGTTTATCCAAGAGTAAGTTAAAATACACAATTTTAATTGCTAAGGCATTAGTGGAATTGATTTTACAACCTTTCCCCCTCTTATTTCTTTTTGGAGTATTTTTTAATAGGCTCCCCAAGGTATATCTTCTGCCACATTGTTTATTCATTGAAAAGTGAACATATTTCAGTAACAAAGATCCTTTCCTTTCAAGTAAAGTACCTTATCCATGGTAGGCACTCAAATATTTGTTGATTGACAGATACTTATGAGTTGCAGCATTCCATTAATTTTTATGTTCCATGTGTTATACTCTAACAAGGTCATTCAATATTTAATTTTTAACATTTAGAATTTTAAATTCTATTTTTTTAAAACCAGTAGTACATTGGACACTCACAGCACTCAGACATTGCTATGGGGTCAACTGCTCTTGGCAATTTGCTGGGATAGGGAGATTTCAATGTGTGCCAAGGGCTGGTGAAGGAGTAGATAAATTAACAAGAAAACAAACAGAGATATCAGAAGTCTGATTGGGTCAAAGAGTTAGCAAACTAGACAAGCAGGCATTAGGCCATCACAGAAGCAGAAAGACACCAGGTCAAAAGGAGGGCAGGCACAATGGTAGTCTGAAGTCCAAGGAAAGTAATCTGGAATCAGGAAGAATACTGGAGTCAAGGGGACAGGACAAAAAAATAGGAAAATAGGAAACATTGTTGAAGGAGATGATCGGTGGCAAGATTCTTCCTCTTGCTTCCTGTCTGTTCTTAGGCATCTGAGAGTGGTTCCTGCAGTTGGAAACAAAAAGTTAGCATTACTCAGCAGAGGTGAGGAGTTCAAGGAAGCTACATTTGAACCTAATGAATAAACCCCAACAGAAGCACAATACAAATATAAACCTTTCTATTATATTATAGCTGCCAATATGTATCTGTGTATCTATTCCCCTATGGTACTTGGTATTAGTGGCACTTTTAAAATTATATTTTTAATTTTAATTTTACTCTTTTTAAAAAAAATGTATTTTATTGATTTTACAGAGAGGAAGGGAGAGGGATAGAGAGTTAGAAAAATCGATGAAAGAGAAACACAGATCAGCTGCCTCCTGCACACCTCCTACTGGGGATGTGCCTGCAACCAAGGTACATGCCCTTGACCGGAATCGAACCTGGGACCTTTCAGTCAGCAGGCTGATGCTCTATCAACTGAGCCAAACCAGTTAGGGCTAATTTTACTCTTTTTGAAATTGATTTTAGAGAGAGAGGAAGGGAGAAGGAGAGAGATAGAAACATCGATGAGAAACATGGGTCAGCTGCTTCCTGCATGTCCCTACTGGGCATTGAGTCCCCAACCTGGGCATGTGCCCTTACTGGGAATCGAACTGGCGACCTCTTGGTCCATGGGTCAATGCTCAATCACTGAGCCACATGGCCAGGCATAGTGGCACTTTGCACATAGTAATCACTCAATAATTATTCATGAACTTGAACTGAAAAGTTTAAAGATCTTGTATATTAGCTTATGGTCTATTTCAGAACAAAGGTAGTTTATTATTTTGCTATTAGCATTACCATTTTGATGTTAAAACTCATAATATAGCCTGTATTCACTAGACCAAAACAAAACAAAACAAACTATAAAATGGAAAACAGAAGTGTTATTATTGTCAAAACCATTAATTTGCTGATTGCTAATAGACATCTGTGATAAATTCAACATCAGCATTCAAAATGCAAATAATTAGCAAAGTCCTAGAAATTTGATTTAACTTTTTTCTATGTTATTAAATTGTTTCTAAAGGAGACTTTTTTCCTGAAATAATTTAAAAACAGTTTAGTGAGGAGTTAGTTAAATCCATTAGAAATCATATTTGGTTAAATAATATTAACACACTAGTTTCAAATCTTCATATTAATGGAAACTAAGGAGAAAATAAACAAGTGAAACTACATCAAAATAAAAAGCTTCTGCACAGCAAAAGAAACCATCAACAAAACAAGAAGAAAGTCCACTTCATGGGAGAATATATTTGCCAATGTTATATCTGATAAGGATTTAATCTCCAGCATTGACAGGGAACTGATACAACTTAACAAAAGGGAGATAAACAATCCAATCAAAAAATGGGCAAAGGACCTAAATAGACACTTTTCAAAAGAGGACATACAGAAGGCCAAGAGACATATGAAAACATGCTCAAAGTCACTAATCATCTGAGAGATGCAAATCAAAATGACAATGAGTTATCATTTCACACCTGTCAGAATGGCTATCATCAACAAAACAACAAATGACAAATGCTGGTGAGGATGCAGAGAAAAAGGAACCCTCGTTCACTGCTGGTGGGAATGCAGACTGGTGCAGCCACTGTGGAGAACAGTATGGAGTTTCCTAAAAAAAAATAAAAAAGAAACTCCCATTTGACCCAGTAATCCCACTTCTAGGAATATATCCCAAGAAACCAGAAATACCAATCAGAAAGGATATATGCACCCCTATGTTCATAGCAGCACAATTTACCATAGCTAAGATTTAGAAACAGCCTAAGTGCCCATCAGCAGATTAGTGGATTAGAAAACTGTGGTGCATCCTCACAATGGAATACTACGCTGCTATTAAAAAGAAGGAACTCTTACCATTTGCAACAGCATGGATGGAACTGGAGAGTATTATGCTAAGCGAAATAAGCCAGTCTGAGAAAAGATAAATATCACATGATCTCACTCATTTGTGGAATATAATGAACAACATAAACTGGTGAACAAAAATAGAACCAGTGACATAGAAGTGGCATTGAACAGACTGTCCTACCTAAGAGGGAAGGCAGGGGAAGAGGAGGGGGTAAGAGATCAACCAAAGGACTTGTATGCATGCATATGAGCATAACCAATGGACACAGACAGTAGGGGATGAGGGCATGTGCTGGGTGGTGGGAGCGGTCAGGGAAAAGTCAATGGGAGAAAAAGAAGACTCATGTTATATATTAAACAATAAAAAATTTAAATTAAAAAAATCTTCACACTGTAATTTTTACACAAGTTATGTGCCTTATAAATGATGACGTTCCATAACACTTTGTGGCAATGCTTGTGTATTAAAGAGAACTTTATTGAACTATTTTTAATTTCTCTGGTGGTGGAAGTTCATGATTTTATATGATAACCAGCACTATATACCTTCTATATATGTGCTTTTAAGTTTCCTTCAGCGACTTTCAGAAAGAGAGCAATAACTTTGCTAATTTTATATTTTTAAAAATTTACAGTTAAGTAAAATTTGTTTTGGAACAATAAATACCCATCAATGTAATTTTTCTCTTAACTTTTAAGGGAAGTTGGAGGATGAGTGGTCTAGTGCTTATTCAGCGTTGGAAATTTTTGTCTGTGAAACACCTATATTAGACACGTGGAAGTGTATTGAACATGAAAATTCCTGGATCCCACCCCCAGTCATCCTGAATCAGAATCAGAGGAAAATATCTAGAAATTCACATTTTAAATAAGTTCTCCAGGTAATTCTTATGTATTTTACAATTTAAAAACTTTAAATCAGACAAATTGTATATGATGACTAGTATAAGATCTAGTTTTAATTTTGACGGATTAGCTGCTGTCATTTTATTCAACCTCTTTGTTCAACTTCCAAGCTATAAAAGTTTGATTTTTATTTGTAATTTAGGTGGTACTCTGAACACTTTTTAAGTATCTTAAAAACAAAAAGTTTTCACAGGTGCTGATTTTACAACAGCTAATAAATATATATCCCCAGGAAATAAATAAAAATAAAAACCTCTCTGGGACTTTTTCTTCATTTACACAATAAAAGAGGTTGGATTAGAATGTATCTATCAAGTCTCTTCTAGATCTGACATGTTAGAACTCTATGAAAATAAAATTTGTTTACAAAACATCAATTTTTAATTTCTCCTTCCTATCAGCACAATTCATGATGACACTGCACCTTGAGTAGATTAAACTGTATAGGAGGTAAGTTCAAAGTATTGGGTAAAGCTTAAGCTTTAATAAAACTAATAAGTGCTTGAAATAGTACTATATACCATTGATTTTCAAACTTGTCTGCACATTAGAATCACCTGGGGAGTTGTTAACAGTCTCGACACCCAGGCTACACCCCAAACAGAAACTTGGTGGTGACATCTAGGCATAGTAATTTTTAAACACTAAATTTATTGGAGTGACATTGGTTAATAAGATTATATAGGTTTCAAATGTAGAATTCTATAATACATCATCTATATATTGCATTGTGTGTTCACCACTCCAAGTCAAATTTTCTTCCATCACTATATATTTCATCCCCTTTACCCTTTATTATCACTCCACCTCCCTTCCCTCTGGCAACTACCATAATGTTGTCTATGTCTATGGGTTTTTGTTTATTCATTTGTTGCTTTCAGTTTTACATGTCACATGTAAAACTGAAATAATATAGTTCTTGACTTTTCCCTTCTGATTGATTTTGGTTAGCATGTTATTCTCAAGATTCATCCATGTTTTTGCAAGTAACAGTATTTCATCTTTACTTATGGGCTGAGTACTATTCCATTGTGTATATGTACATTGTGTATATATATCTTCTTGAGCCAATCACCTATCAAGAGACACTTTGGATGTTTCCATGTCTTGGCCACTGTGAATAATGCTAATCTCAGTAATTTTAAAAATTCTCCAGGTAATACCTATATAAAGCCAAGTATGAGAACCACTGCTATATAGAAACTGGATGGGACTGTTATTTTGCAAATTTTACAAATAAGTAAGTTAAGGCCCAGCAATTCAAGTGTCTTTTCTTAAAGTTCCACAGGGATTTAGGGATAGATCTGTGACTAGCTTTAAAATCCCCACAATCTAACTTTTTATTTCTTAAATATAAAAGAAAGCAAAAACATAGGGCTAGAAATGTTATCAACATAACAATGTAAAAATTAGGAATAATATAGTGAGTGGTATGACCTGGACCAAGAAAGATGTTTATATTTAATGTTCCTATTTTGGAGACTTAGCACAAATATAATACAACTAAAGGCCTGGTGCACAGAATCCGTGCACTGGAGCAGGGGTCCCTCAGCCAGCCTGTGCCCTCTCACAGTCTGGGACCCCTCGGGGGATGTCTGCCTGAGGGGAGTGGGCCTAAACCGGCAGGCAGACATCCCTCTCACAGTCCAGGAGCCCTCACTCCTTACTGCCCGCCTGCTCGCTGCTCCTTACTGCTTGGCTCACTACTCCTTAGCGCTGCCACGGAGGTTGGAAAGGCTCCTGCCACTGGCACTGTACTCACTAGACGTGAGCCCGGCTTCTGGCTGAGCAGCGCTCCCCCTGTGGGAGCACACTGACCACCAGGGGGCAGCTCCTGTGTTAAGCATCTGCCCCCTGGTGGTCAGTGCACATCATAGCGACTGGTTATTCTGGTTGTTGTGCCTTAATGGTTGCTTAGGCTTTTACTATATAGACTAGGGGCCTGGTGCACGAAATTCGTGCACTGGGGGGGGGGTGTCCCTCAGCCCAGCCTGCCCCCTCTCACATACTGGGAGCCCTCAGGGGATGGCCTAGTGATGGCTTAGGCCCACTCCCTGCTCCCCTTGGGGATAGGGCCTAAGCCACAGTCTGGCCTCCCTTTGTGGGAGGTGACCAGGCTGATCAGGGGAAGGCACCATCCCCATCACCCTGCTGCTGCAGCCAGTGCCAGTCACTGCAGTCAGCAAGGTTTTTCATCAACATGGACTCCAGTCCCGTCACCATGAAAAAATGACAACTTTTTTTAGGCATTTTCAAGATGTGTCTTTCATATAATAATTTCTTTATTATTTTTTTATCCTCACCTGAGGATATGTTTCCATTGATTTTTAGAGAATGTGAAAGAGAAAGGGAAAGACAGAGAGAAACATCAAAATGAGAGGAACACTTTGATTGGTTGCCACCTGCATGAGCCCTGACCTGGGCCCTGTCCAGGGAGGAGCCTGCAACCTAGGTACATGCCCTTGGTCAGAATTAAACTCAGACCCTGCCATCAGCAGGCCAAGGCATTATCCACTGAGCCAAACCAGCTAGGGCAGGATATGACATTTCTTAGCCCTCCAGCAGCGGACCTTCATTTTTTTCGCCAGGAGTGTGGTGAAAAACCTAGATCACCTATTTGGATTCTTATTACCCAAGTTACTAAGAATATTACCAGTGGCATACAGGGAGCTTAACCAATGAGCGGTCAGAAAAGGTGTTTCCTCTGTAGTTCACACCAATCGCCGGCTTGCGCGCCCCTCCCACCCCCCGTGCCCCAGGCCTGATGCCTCTGGCCCAGGCTTCAGGCCTGGGCAGAGGACCCCCATCTCCCCCGGATCACCGGCTCTGCCCTGGCCCAGGTCTGATGCCTCGGCCAGAGGTGTCGACCCCCATCACCCTCCAATTGCCAGATTGACTCCTTGCCCAGGCCTGACGCCTTGGCCAGAGGCATCAGGCCTGGGAAGGGACCCCCAGACCCCTCTGATTGCTGGCTCTGCCCCCTGCCCAGGCTTGATGTCTCTGGTCCAGGCTTCAGGACTGGGCAGGGGACCCCCATCTCCCCCCGATCACCGGCTCTGCCCTTGCCCAGGCCTGACACTTCAGCCAGAGGCATCGACCCCCATCACCCTCCGATTGCTGGATTGGCCCCTTGCCCAGGCCTGACGCCTCCACCAGAGGCGTCAGGCCTGGGCAGGGGACACCCATCTCCCCCCGATCACCGGCTTCTGGGGACAGCCTGCAGCCCGGGATGGCAGCTCACACTGGCGGCTGCGCTGTCCCGCCCTGCCTACAGTATGCAAATTAGCCACTATCTTTGTTGGCGGTTAATTTGCATATCATGCTGATTAGCCAATGGGAGGTGTAGTGAAGGTACAGTCAATTACCATGTTTGTCTATTATTAGATAGGATACTAGAGGCCTGGTGCATTAAATTCATGCACGGGTAGGGTCCCTAGGCCTGGCCAGAGATCAGAGCTGATTGGGGCCTTCTGGCTGCAAGCTGGGCCTCCCTTCCTCGGCTGCCGGCCACCAGCCAGTGCCTTCCTTCATTCCATGCCGCCCCCTTGGTGGTCAGCGCATGTCATAGCAAGTGATAGAACTCCTGGTCTCCCAGTCTAACTCCCAAGGGGACACTTTGCATATTATCCTTTTATATATAGAGATGACTTTACTCAAATGTAATCTCAAATAAGTGGAATCATAATATAGTCCCCAAATCTTCTTTTATTTATTAATTTTAAATCTTTTTCCTACAATTACTTTACTGAAAACAGTTTCATACTGAAATAAGCAGGACTAATACATATTTTACCTCCCATTAATTTACCTGCAAATTCTTGGGTAGCAATGCTTAAAAGAGAAATAAAGAAAGAAAATGTAACTGAAAAGGTAACTAGTGAAACAGCAACCAGCTCAATTATAAACCATGTAAATAACTTAATAATAATATAATTGGTTATAATCTATAGTCCATATTACCACATGGTTTCTAGCTAAAAACATCAAATGTTATTAGTATCGCCAAATAAGGGTTTCAAATTTCTTAAAATCTCTCTTTTTTTAAAAATGAATGCAATATATTTCCAACAAAGACATAAGAATGGCACAGAGAACAGGTGCTAATGTTCTTCTTTCAATAGCTTACCAAAGGATTTCAATGTGCATATCTCATGTGCCATATAAAATTAGAAACTTCAGTAAGAGACTGTGGTCCCTGGTAGACTATGAAATATTTCATAATTTACTCATTGCCTTGTTAATATGAATGTGATGTCACAGTAGTATATTTGTGTTGACTTTGGAATTAATGAACACATTGACACTTGAAGATAAGTTCTTCTGTGGGTAGTTTGCTATTCTTCTTAGGAAACTGCCACAGTAGTGATCTAATTTTGCAACATCCAGAAATAATTACACATACGTTTAACTCCAAATTTGGATAGAAATATCACTAGAATATAAAATAAACTGCCAGGGAATTTGCCTTTAAAAATTCTAAATTTAAAAAAGTTCATATATCTCATTCAATATGACAACAGAAATTATACCTGTTAAAAATGTGTGGTTTTGAAATCTTAGCCTGAGGTTTTAGTCAATAATTTCTGAAGTATTATTTTCCCCTTCCCCAACATTTATGTGACACTAAAATTGATTTGCCTTATAAAGTTTATTATAACTAAAAACAAAAACCCAGCTTTTGTTTGATAAAATAACAATCTTCAACCCATATGTAAGAATCATTTTGGCTTATTCAGTAAGTACATATAAGTCTCTCATGGCCAAAAATATATATGAAAGAAAGAAATTAAATCCATTCAAAATAAGACAGGTGACCAAAAAAGTTATTGCTTTTTAAATTCTTTAATAACAAACTCAGAATTTTACCATGAGGAGGATTCACAATTCTAATTAACATTTAAACACAATTATAAAAACAAAAGACCGAACACATTTATGGACAAACTGCAGCATCTGTCTTTAGGTTCATAAGCTGCCAAATACATTTTAAATGTATAGCATATGAAGTCACAGACCAATAAGGCTAGAAGGAAACCCCAAAAATTAATAGCTTAACTATTATCAAATTCATCTTGATACAGAATAATTTTTAACTCATGTGTTGGTCATAGATACACATAGATGTCAACCATAGGGCCGTGCAAATGTGGAAGGCCATTTACATTTAAAATGAAGTATAATAGACAACCAGAATAAAATCAATTTCCTTAGTTACCATTTTTATAGTTTGAATATGAGCACCTAAAATGTTAATATGAGATAAAAATTTCACTATTTAAGCTCACATTACATGTACCCAAATTACAACTGAATACAGCAAAAATTTAGATACACAGTAGCCTCTGGTTTTAAAATAACAGACTGGTGAAAACATTTAGAAATTCAAATGATATGAAGTCACAATAGGGAGTGGAAACCCTTAAGACAATTTAATTCATTCACATTGCACAGCTGACTAAACTAAAGAATGGGGCAAGGAGACCATAACAATTGTTGTGTGCTTTTGAAAATGACAGAAACTACCTTAGTTGTAAGAAATGCAGATTGACCATTTTAGAAGCATTTAATCTTCAAATTAGCAACTCAAAACTTGCCAATATAGGTGAATAAAAGTTGCAGGATGTCAAATGTCTATGTAGTTACTCTTCTGAAGTCAAGATGCCCTATGCTGAGGCTTTAGAACAAATGTACACTTCACAAATAAGACAGTGAACATAAATTATTAAAAGTCAAGATAATAGTCATATCGAAGTAAGGTAAATTTTCTTGATACACAAAAATTTTTCTAATGACTGGTTCAGTAATGAACTTAAAATGAAGTCTGTTAACTCCAAATACAAGACTAACATTAAACTACTTAATAACTTGGGAGCTTATGTAATATTCTTGCAGAAAAACAGTTATCAAAATTACCAACAAAATGATAGAATATAATTAATGCATTGCCCTATTTAACAATCTGTAATAATTCCATTTGCTAATTTTAAGGAGCATTATCTATTATCTGGTCTATAAATTTTATGTAAACAGACTTCTACTTTGTTGTTACCCAAATTACAGATATCCAAGATACAGATGACATGCACTCTATCCAGTTTAGTTACTGCTTTTATAATATCACCTAAAAATAAAAAGCAGATGGTAAGTATTGTAAAATAATTATTTACTTTTATTTAATATCACATAAACTGTTATTTTTTCTTATAATATTAACCCTGTGCTTCATCTTCTTCCTCTTCACTCTAATTCATCACACACATTCATCAAAGGTATGCTGTAATAACTTCCACAGATAACAGTGAATACATCAAACAGATGCTGCCAGTAATGTCAAGATATGGGCTGGTACTTCAAAGCCATATTTAGTTATATTTATTTTTTAATTTTTATAGTGGAGCAATACAAATCTACATATTTTCAAGGCAATAAAAAGAAACTAGTTCATAAAAAATGTTTAAAAAGATGACACCAATGCTATACTATAAGGCACTGCATTACATTATTCTGTACTTATTTTGACCTTTCAGGTTGACCTTTCACTTTGGAATTATTGGAGGAATGAAAAAGTTTTAAATCAGACAGATCTGAGTTCAAGTCCCAGCTGTTACCCATGCTAGTAAATCTGATTTTCAGTGTAATCATCTTTAAATATAGGAAAATAATATTCACATTGCAAGGTTCTTATTATTAGAGTTAGTCATAACTTATAAAAATGTTCAGGCACAGTGCATGGCACAAAGCTAAAGTGACACATTGTCAATAGGATTTTATATTAATCCTCACCTGAGGATATGTTTTTATTGATTTGAGAGAGGAAGGAAGGGAGAGCGAAACATCAATTGGTTGCCTCTCGCATGCACCCCAAATGGGGATCAAACCTGCAACCTAGGTATATGCTCTGACCAGGAATTGAACCCCAAACCTTTCAGTGTGTGGGATGATGTTCCAACCAACTGAGTCACCTGGCCAGGGCACATTATTAATAATCTTATGTGATGAAAAAGAAAATAAATCACCTCACTTTTGATTACCCTATCCCTTTTCTTTTCTAGTGATTTTTGCCCTTCATCTCCCAAATATTAACCAGATATTTTCATGTGACGATGTTAGTGACTGTTGGAAGAATATTGGCACTAGAAACTAGTAGGTAGCTGAGAATTTTGCCTTGATATTCTTCAATAATAACATATACATATAGCAGAAAAAAAGTGACAGAAATGGATATTGTATGAAGTAAGAAAATAAGTGTACAAATATTTAAAGTGCCTATTAGGGCACTAACTAAGGAATCTGGAATTTTTGGAAGTTTAAGGAGCTGCAATGTAAGAAGTAGTACTGCAAGTCGACTAATAATCATTTCTAAAATAGACTGTGGGAAAATAAAAACCCCTCATCACATAAAATTAGCTATTCATGTTCAGTTTACAGTAAGCGTTAATACCAAAAGCTACTAATTCATCAGGCACAGCTCTTAAGACTTGTTTAAAAACAACATTCACTCAAGAGTTTCATCAGCATAGAAAGACCATAGATAATAAAGGCTTTCTTAAAATATAACTTAAATGTAATATCCTTATAAGCTCAATGAAACCTTCTAAAAACTTTACCACATGCTTAGGAAATAGAAATAACAAAAAAAGTGAATAAGGTAATCATGGACACATAATTTTATAGGTATATATAAATAATTTTGGTATATAGAAATAAGTTTGGCATTATGTAGTAGCCTAAACAGTTGGTTGAAGGGTTTCACTACTGGGATTACATATACTCCTAGCACTCCTCAAGGAGTTTATTGCATAGCACTTGAATAACTAAACATTTATAAGAGAAAACAATTGTACTATGCTATGCTATGGAGGTATTAAAATTTCAGGCAATTATAAGGTGAAAGAATAAATCAGTGATGGTGAACCTATGACACGTGTGTCAGAGGTGACACGTGAACTCATTTTTTTGGTTGATTTTTCTTTGTTAAATGGCATTTAAATATATAAAATAAATATCAAAAATATAAATCTTTGTTTTACTATGGTTGTAAATATCAAAAAATTTCTATATGTGACACGGCACCAGAGTTAAGTTAGGGTTTTTCAAAATGCTGACACGCCGAGGTCAAAAGGTTTACCATCACTGGGATAAATTGTCGCATCTGAGTTAAAAGGAGAGAAGATTAGAAATTTGCACTGCTCCCATGTGCATACCACTTAGGTCCAATACTTATATTCAGAATCCTATCTAATAAAGAGGGAATATGCTAATTAACCCTCACACCAATGCAAAGATGGTGGCGCACACAGCCAATAAGGAGGAAATATGCGAATTGACTGCCCCACCCTCAACGATGGCAGCGCCCACAGCCACAACATGGCTGGCAGGGGAGGGCAGTTGTGGGAAATCAGGCCAGTCAGGAGGGGAGGGCAGTTAGGGGCAACCAGGCCAGCAGGGGAGGGCAGATAGGGGCGGCAGGGCAGGCAGGGGAGGGAGGGCAATTGGGGGGGACCAGGCTGGCAGGAGAGGGCAGTTAGGGGCAACCTGGCCTGCAGGGGAGGGAAGTTGGGGGCGACTGGGCCGGCAGGGAAGGGAAGTTGGGGGCGACCGGGCCAGCAGGGGAGGGCAGTTGGGGGCGACTGGGCCGTCAGGGGAGCAGTTAGGCGTTGATCAGGCTGGCAGGGGAGTGGTTAGGGGGTAATCAGGCTGGCAGGCATAAGTGGTTAGGGGCAATCAGGCAGGCAGGCAGGTGAGCAGTTGGGAGCCAGCAGTCCCGGATTGTGAGAGGGATGTCTGACTGCCAGTTTAGGCCCGATTCCACAGGGATCGGGCCTAAACCGGCAGTTGGACATCCCCGAGGGGTCCCCGATTGGAGAGAGTGTAGGCTGGGCTGAGGGACATCCCCTCCCTCAGTGCAAAAATTTAGTGCACCAGGCCTCTAGTTGTATTATAAGAGAAAACTCTTGAGTTAAAAAAATTTTTTTTAGAGAGAGAGGAAGAGGGATGGAGAGATGGAAAAATCGACCAGGTGTTCCTGCACACCCCCTACTGGGGATCGAACCTGAAACCTAGGCATGTGCCCTGACCAGGAATCAAACCAGGGACCTCTTGGTTTATAGGTGGACTCTCAACCACTGAGCAACACCAGCCAGGCTATAAGAGAACATGGTTAATGCTTGCCTGGAATAAAAACCATTAATCCATTCTATTTTGTTTAAAATATATATTTTCGCCCTAGCCGGTTTGGCTCAGTGGAGAGAGCATCGGCCTGCAGACTCAAGGGTCCCAGGTTTGATTCCGGTCAAGGGCATGTACCTTGGTTGCAGGCATATCCCCAGTAGGGAGTGTGCAGGAGGCAGCTGATCGATGTTTCTCTCTCATCGATGTTTCTAACTCTCTACCCCTCTCCCTTTCTCTATGTAAAAAATCAATAAAATATATTAAAAAAATAAAATATATATTTTCACTTATAAGTCTTGGGGTACATTTATAAAATAATTCTTCAAACTGTATTAAATGTTAAGGCTAAAACTATTTATAGCAGGGGTGGGGAACCTTAAACCTTTTTTTCTTCCAAGGGCTACTTGGATATTTATAACATCATTTATGGGCCAAACAAAATGATTAACTTAAAAATTATGTTGCTATGAAAAAAGCTCCTAGATTTATTGAATTTCTTGTCCCACCTGTGGTTTCCTTGGCAGGGCCAGACCAAATGATACACCTGGCAGACCAGACGGTCCCCACCTCTGGTTTATATAAAAACATCTTAAGGTTAGGACTGTTTACAATATTTTTTTTCCTTTTTATTGAATATATTGGGGTGACACTGGTTAACAAAACTAGACAGGTTTCAGGTGCACAATTCCACAAAACATGACTATTTACAATACTAATTTTATTTTCTGAATGAAAAGAAAACACTGAGACGGTCATACCTGCAAGGGCTCTTGGACCTGGCATCCTCTCAGAATCAGTTACTGCCTGTGGATACACACAGCTGTAATTCATACAGGCTAATAATGTGTCTATTTGAGATGTTCGGATATCTTCTGGACAGTACAGGGGTAGAAATGCAACATCAATTGCTCTCTCATGGTTCAGACCTTTAAAGAAAAATTACACTTTATTAAAGTTTAGTGGGTTAGTATATGGTGCTAATGAGGCCAAGTTGCTGATTTGATCCTAATATATGCCAAATAGCTTCACACCTATAAAAGACAGTTTGAGCCCTGGCTGGTGTGCTCAGTGGTTGGGGCATTGGTCCACACACTGAAGGGTTGAGGGTTTGATTCCCAGTCAAGGGCATGTGCTTGGGTTGCAGGTTCATTTCCCAGCCCGGGTCTGGGCATGTGTGTGAGGCAGCCAATTGATGTGCGATGTGTCTCTCACATTGATGATCTCTCTCTCTCTCTCTCTCTCTCTCTCTCTCTCTCTCCCTCCCTCCCTCCCTCCCTCCTCTCTCCTCCCTTCCTCCCTCCCTCCCTCATTTCCTTCTCCCTCCCTCCCTCATTTCCTTCTCCCTCCCTCCCTCATTTCCTTCTCCCTCCCTCCCTCTCTCCCTCCCTCCTTTCCACTCTATCCTCAGGTGAGGATAAAAAAAAGACAGTTTGAAAACTGTGGCCTAAACTCTTAGCTGTGCAAACATTTATGAATACATGTTATTGGTTGAAAGAGGAGACAGTTCAGTGCAGTCTTTCACCACTGCTGGAAAAAAATTTTCAAAAAATTTTCTCTACTGATGAAAGGTTGAAGGTTAAAATCTTAATACGCAGAGAACAGCCTCGTCACATAAATGAAAACTTGTATAGTGCTTTCTTCATCATTCATGAGAAAACTATTGGTTCTCTCATTGCCATTTGGACTTAAGGATATACTGGTATGGTATGGTATGGTATGGTATGGTATGGTATGGTATGGTATGGTATGGTATGCACCATAATAACTAGGTCCAATCTGTCCTCAAATATATGTGTCAATAACTTACTCTTAGGGCTATAAGAGGCTGCAGTAGAAAAGAGGCTATAGGGGACCAACCAAACTGAATCCTGACCTACTACTGTCATCTTTTTACGTGGGTCAATGTCAGTTAGGGTGGACAAAAGACTTCCTAGAGGCAAGGGTCTGAGCTGGGTATTAAAGGATGAATA